GGCCAGGCACAGTGGCTCACGCCTGCAATCCCAGCACTTTTGGAGGCCAAGGTGAGAGGACTGCTTGAGGCCCTAGGAGTTTGATACCAGCCTGCACAACATAGTGAGACCCTGTCCTAAGTAAAAATAGAAAAATTAGCTGGGTGTGGTGGTGGCTCCTGTAGTCTTAGCTACTGGGGATGCTGAGGCAGAAGGATTACTAGAACCCAGGAGTTTGAGTCTGCAGTGAGCTGTGATCGTGCCACTGCACTCCAGCCTGGGTGACAGAGTAAGACCCTACCTGGGGAAAAAAAAAAGTATTCTCTATGTCAAAGAAAGAACAGGAGTTAGGTTTGATTACTGACTGGTCAGTTAATTCCCATCACAAAAAAAGATAAGTATGTGAGATAATGCGTATGTTAAATAGCTTGATTTAGCTATTACACAATGTATACACATATCAAAGTATCACGTTGCACACTATATATAATTTTTGTCAATTTAAAAATATTTAACTTAAAATATTTTAAAATTTAAAAAGAGTAATTGAATCTGACCCACCAATTCCCAATCAATGTATAATAAGGTTTAACATTAAAATCACAAATTATACAGTACCACAAAGTCTTAACTTTTTTTTTTTGAGACGGAGTCTTGCTCTGTTGCCCAGGCTAGAGTGTTGTGGCGTCAGCCTAGCTCACAGCAACCTCAAACTCCTGGGCTCAAGCGATCCTACTGCCTCAGCCTCCCGAGTAGCTGGGACTACAGGCATGCGCCATCATGCTAGGCTAATTTTTTCTATATATTTTTAGTAGTCCAGCTAATTTCTTTCTATTTTTAGTAGAGACGGGGTCTCGCTCTTGCTCAGGCTGGTCTCAAACTCCTAAGTTCAAACAATCCTCCCGCCTCGGCCTCCCAGAGTGCTAGGCTTACAGGTGTGAGCCACCGCACCCAGCCATAACTACTTTTAAGTTCAGTTAACTTATCACACAGCCGGAATGTTTCTTTGGAAGTCTACATACCTTGGTTCGTAAGCTCCAATGGGAATAGCTGCAAGGTCAAAAGGTCCGAATCTTTTTCCTATCTCTTCAAAAGCAGGGCAATAACCAGTATCTCCTGCAAAAAAAAATCGATTCCAAGGCCCCAAGACAGACCAACTGCCCCACAGAACCTTGTTGTCATCCATTAGAGTCCTTTTACACCAGTGCTGGGAAGGTGTAAAGACAAAGGTGACCTTATCATGTCCGGGGACACAATTCTCCTCCCACCAGTCCAGCTCAATCACATTCTCACAGCCACATTTTTGCATCCAGTCGAGGAGACCCAGAGGCACAAACCATCTCAATTCATTACCAAATCGCTCATTCAAAGCAATGACAGAACCGTAGTCCAGATGGTCATAGTGGTTGTGACTGATGAGGACCGCATCTATCGGGGGGAGTTCACTTATTGTGCACGGGGGACGCCGAAAGCGCTTTGGACCCATGTACTGGGATGGTGAGGCGCGAGAGCTAAAGATGGGATCCGTAAGAAATATGAGCTCATCCATCTCCACCATCACCGTGGCATGCCCCAGCCACGTGACTCGTAAGCCAGCTTCCCGCACTCCCGCTTCTCCGGGGTCAGCGACAAAATACGGCTTTAGCACTGGGAGTTCTTTGTCAAGTTCCTATGTGTACAGAGAAAGACAAAACAGCAGTTAGAAAAAAAGGTATTATATCATCACATACTGTAATTTGACCTAAATTATAGCAAGAAGGGCTATTTTGGTAGAACTGAAGTCATTCAATAAACTTGCTATTTTTGCTTTTTCCTTGAAAATGCACACTTCTTTCTGAATCTGACTTAACAGTCATGATAATATAGTAATCTTTTTTCATCCCAAATCCAATAGGCAAAGGGAAAATTAAATTGAAAACTTTGAGTACTGCCCAATTTATCCATTTTTTTAAAGGCTTTCTTTGGTAGTGGCAGCAGCAGACTGGCCCAGATGTAGTCACTTGTATATCACCACTTCACTTAGCTGTTCTGCCTGCTGCTGAAAACTCCCTCAAAAGCAGGGCAGTACTCGGCAACAGCAAAGAAAGCTTATGACCATTTATTTGTAGCTCTTGGATCTCAGATACGAATCTGACCTTGAGTACATATAATTCAAAGTGGGAGCACTGTGATGATCCCTGGGCAAATCACGGTCATAAACAGTCCTCCTCATTCCTTAACCTTCCAGTTTTCTACCGTTGATCAAACCAAAGGGAAATAGGATCCCTGCCGGTGAGAAGCTAAACATTTGGGGAGGGATGGTAAATAGATGTAAAACGAAAACCACAACAAAGGGTGACAAGTATTATTCCTTGCTTATTCTACATTTTATACTTGGATTAAGTTAGGCCAACAAAAAACTATGTTTTGGGGTCACAGACCTGGATTTTACAAAACTGTGCGTTGAGGTCTCATAGGAACCTGCCTCATGAAACCTGCCATGCATGTATTTGGGCTGAAGACTTGGTACCCCTTCTACTTTCCCACTCACCCCAGAAACATTTCTCTCAATCCTCAGTAACAGGAAAAGCCCTTCTCCAGAGCAACTGGCTTTATCATTTGACTGGCAATGGGAAAACTCATAACATTTCATGCTTCTCTCTTTGCCGTGACTAGGAAGTTCAAAGTAACAGCTGAGGCCACCTCCAGCAATGTGCAGGGCATGATGGAAAGTATTTCTGTACTAACTTTATTCTTGGCTTCCTCCTCTCATCCCTTTGAGACCAACATTGAATCACGCAGCCTTCGTGAGGCTGCCTCTGAGTCTCCAGCCGGAAGCACTCACTCCTGGCTCTCAACTTCTATGCCTCTCCATTAACACACCTCCTCTGGATACTCTGGTTATATGTATATAGAATTCATCCCGTGTCTTATGCAACTTGGAATCATTCATTCACCACGTCTGGCTCCGTGAGTGAAACACAGCATGTGCTCAATAAAATTTTTTGAATGAATGAGTAAATAAATGAACGTCAATTTTTCAATTGGTTCTCAAATTTGGTAGTTCAGTGAATAATAACAAATGTCATATGGCATACTTATCAAGAATTAAGGAGAAAAGGGATATGGAAGGAATATTTGGCATCATACTAGGCACATAATGATGGTGAATTATCTAATGTATCAAGCACTTTAGTATAACACAAAATAATATTAACAATAGCTACCATTTATGGAGTGCTTACTATGTACTAGACACTGTACCAACTTTTTTATAAGAATTTAATATTGACCATAATACTTATAGTAGACACTATTAACTACCTCTACCTTACAGATTAGAAAACAAAGAATTAGAGATGTTACAGCATTCATACAAGGTCACACGGCTAGCCTCCACGTATACTGCCTCCCACCATCATAGTTACTCCCATTAAATCTCATTTAATACACAATAAAGTAACAGCCTGGGGACCTGGTGGGGAGACTAAGGGGAACTGGATTACAAAAGGACACAAAGGAACTTTAGGGATGATGGAAATATTCATTATCTTGATGACAGTAATCTTTTCGTGGGTACATACATAGGTCAAAACCCATCAAATTGTACATTTTAAGTATGTGGAACTTGTATTATGTTAATAAAACAATTTTTAAAATTTTAAGTAGCATGTTAAAAATAAATGTGAAAAAGAAAAATGCTATTTTTTAAACTAAAAAACCTGAGTTGCAAAGTATAATATAGGTAGTAAGGTTTTTTAAGATGATAAAAATATATACCTTCAGTTAGAAGAAAAGGATTAACACATCTTTAAAAGTGATCTTTCGGCCAGGCATGGTGGCTCACACCTGTAATCCTAGCACTCTGGGAGGCTGAGGCGGGAGCCTCAGTACATCAAAACAGTACATCAAAATATCTGTAACAAATTGCCTAAAAACTGCTGCATTTTCTTATTTGCTTTCAGTTTAAAGGTCATCTTAAGGTTAACATTTGCCATTATCTGCTGACTCTTGAGGGGAAACAAAACCTTCACAGGAATAACTCTGGCAGCCTCAACTTGTTCTCCAAAGCATTAACCAGCAAAGTGCTAAAAGAAGCCAGTCACAAAGGACCACATATTGCAGGATTCCGTTTATATGAAATACCCAGAATAAGCAAATCTGGACAGAAAATAGATTAGTGGTTTGGGTGGGGAGGGGGAGGAATTGAGGGGTGATAACTAATGGGCATAAGTTTCCTTTGGGGATAATAAAAATGTTATTAGATTGTGGTGATAGTTGCGCAACTCTGTGAATATACTTAAAACCATTAAATTGTATACTTTAAATGGACCAGTTGTATAGTATTTGAATTATATCTCAATAAAGCTGTTTAAAAAAAGGTAAAGTAGTAACAAGAGATCTGAATTAACTAGTGACACTTTTCTTTATGTTCTTTCCTTCATGTTATATTGTTTCTATGCCCATCACAAAAGAGTAGCTTATTTTAAAGAATTTTATCTCTAGCACTAGTATCTCACAAAACTCAAAGAAATGGAATCTCCGGTTGAGATTCCAAAAAGAAAAAAAATCATTGTTTTACTTTCTAACTTAATCACCAGAGTTTGAAAAAGCATGTAGAAAAGGGGGTGGGGAGAGGAGGGATTCTTGTTTATTTGGCGAAACCAAGCACTCACTTGCCATTTTCTTGGCTAGATCAAAACTCTCTTGGCCGGTCTTTCTTTCTGAAAGCTGCAAAAGGGAAAATCCCAAGACCCATAATTAGCCAGTACACTAGTTAATGTTTTACTTTTCTTGGGAAAGGGGAAACATCCTAACATTCATTCAACCACTACTCTTTCCCAGGTGCTTTAAGTATATTATGTCATCTAAATTTGTGAAGCAGATACTACTGCCATTTTACAGATGATCAGACCCAGGCAGATTGGGGTCACTAAGAAACAGGTCCAATCAGCAGTGGAATCTAGGTTTTCCTGACTCAAAAGACCTCCCTTTTCACTAACCATAACTCTTTCCATGGCATAAATGATATTAACTTACATTAAAATTAAACAGTAAAACCCATATTCTTGTTAATATACTTATTATTTTAAGAGTATATGTTTGTGTGTATGAGTGAGACAGAAGAAGAGAAGGATTTTGCTCAAATCTGTTTAAATCATGTTTTTAAAAGATCACTTTTTTTTTTTTTTTGAAGAGAGTCTCGTTCTGTTGCCCATGCTCGAGTGCCATGGCATAAGCCTAGCTCACAACCTCAAATTCCTGGGCTCAAGCAATCCTACTGCCTCAGCCTCCCGAGTAGCTGAGACTACAGGAATGTGCCACCATGCCCGGCTAATTTTTTCTATATATTTTTAGTTGTCCAGATAATTTCTTTCTAATTTTAGTAGAGACGGGGTCTCGCTCTTGCTCAGGCTGGCCATGATGGTTTTTAAACTATGCACATGTATTATATTCTTTATAAAAATAAAAAAGCAACCTATAGCATACTATAGTACAAATATAATTGATGTTTCATTTTTTCAAAGGACACCCTTGTCTTCAATATCACACATCTAAAGAGTGCATTATATATTCAAAGTACATTTGTGTGTCATGTGAACCTCAAAACAATCATAGTGACCTAAATTATTTTATCCTCACATTATAGATCAAAACAAAACAAACCGAAAAAAAAAAAAAAAAAAAAAAAAAAACCCAGGAATTCCCTGAGGGACTGTGATAGAAATAAGGTCACACAGTCAGTGAAGAATCCTAAACCTGAATCTGTGGTTTCCAAACCCCCGATGTCCCACTTTTTCTACCAGGCCTGTGTGGCAGCCTGTTCTGTGTCCTGTGTCTCACACTCCAATTTGACTGCCCACATGCACTTCTGTAGTAGTGATTAGACAGCCTTCCTCAACTAATGAAACTCAGGAAGTACCTGCCCCCTTTGAAATTCTTCAATTGTCTCTTTTCCCAAGGCTTTCGGTGACTGTGATCAACAACAGACAAGGTCACTGAGCCACGTGCAACAGCACAAAGCAAAGACAGCATCTGAACAGGGTCCAGCCTGTGAACTGGCTCACTGCTCTAATGATCGGCATGAGGCCACTATGGAAACACTGATTTCTAAGCAGGCAACTAAATTGGGTAGTATGCTCATGACCCATTTTCATTTAATTTTGACTTATTCTGTCAGTTTATACTTTCATCATGTTTATTCCAAAATACTTTCATATTTATATACTTAAATACAATATACTATAATATGGTATGATATAAATAGGCAAGGCGTGGTGCCTCACACTTGTTATCTCAGCACTTTGGGAGGCCAGGGCGGGAGAATTACTTGAGACCAGGAGTTCAAGACGAGGGTTGGCAACACAGCGAGAACCCATCTCTACAAAAAATTTAAAAAATTAGCCGGGTGTGGTAGTGAGCACCTGTAGTCCCAACTACTAGGGAGGGTGAGGCAGAAGGATCCCTTAAGCCCAGGATTCCAACGTTAAAGTGAGCTATGATCAAGCCACTGTACTTCAGCCTGGGCAACAGAGTGGGACCCTGTCTCAAGAAAAAAAGAGGCTGGTATCCAAAAGAGCTCATAAACCACTAGCCTGGTGAGTCCTCAGAGATTCAATCCCATTTCTAGGGTATTTCTCAAATCATTAGAACGGAGAGATGTATTTCCGTCTTCACATGGTCACTTGTTGAAATGAAACAAAACTAAAGACATCATTACTAACATCTGTATTTTTAAAAGCTGTGGCTCAAAAACTAGGAAGAAACTGACCTCAACATGTAGCTTACCCACCTTGGCCTCCTGCCCTAACTCTCCTCCTCTTAGCTTGACAATGAATGTATTTCTCTTCTTGTGGGGGTTCTTCAAGAGAAAGGGGAAAGAAGAGGGAAAAAACCTTTCTTGTTCCTTTGTTCCATCCTCAGAGCTGAAAATAGGTAAGGTTTCACCTATTAACGTTCTGCCTCAATCTAAAAAGGTGCTAAACAAAAATTTGTATTAACCAATTCCGGTAACTAGGAATAATACTATGAACATTCCTAGCATCAAAGTGATATCAAAGAAAAATGGGCATATTTACCAAGAAGATCTAACACCAACACCCCCACCCGACACTTTCACCTACCCTCCTCCCCACACCTTCCTGCTTCTTCCCACTGCAGACCAGGCTTCAGGGATGCCCCCACTCTTATCATACCACCCCCCACTCGTGATATCACATTCCTTATTTCTCAACTTACAACAAAGACTGGCAGGACAGGGGCAGGCAGATAAGAGAAGCCTAAGATTTGGGGCAGGAGCGTGGTTAGAAACTAAGAAAGGAAAAAAAGGTGCTTCTGCAATTGGGAACCCATCTCACTCATCTAATACTTTATGCCAAATGTTAATAAGTTTCATTCTAAGTAAAACTAGCACATTTAAAGGCTAGGAACCTATTTCGATTTTCAAAGATAACCTCCAGAGAGGTTATCTGAAGATTCCTTTCATAGCTTTCACTGCCTTACCCTAAAGACTGAAAGCCAGGCACTGTAGGCCATGCCATCACCCTCATAATCCATATTCCAAACACACATCAGGTTACTACTTTCTAGAACGTATCACATACTTTCTCACCTTTGTGACCTTGTTCATGTCATCATCTACTTGGACAACCACTGCCAAAATACTTCTTAGCTTTCAAGGCCCAGCTCAAATACCACCTCCTCCACGAAGCCATCTCCCACTCTACCTGTCAGCATCCAGCACACTTCCTTTCCTATACCCACAAAGCACTCTGTCCCCACCTCTATTTGCCACCGGATCACAATTGGTTATTCACATGTATAATTTGCTGCTCAACTATTAACTTTAGGGCACAGATTATACCTATGCACTTTATCTCCCCAGAACCTAATCCTACATGTTATCATATAAAAGGGCTCAATTGGGCAAGCATAGTGGCTCATGCTTGTAATCCTAGCACTTTGGGAGGCTGAAGCGGTGAGATCATTTGAGGCCAGGAGTTCGAGACCAGCCTGGGCAACACAGCAAGACCCAATCTCAAAAAAAATTTTTTTTTTTGAGACAGGGTCTCACTCTGTCACTCCAGCAGAATGCAGTGGCATTATCACAGCTCACTGCAATCTCAAACTCCTAGGCTCAAGCAATCCTCCCACCTCAGTCTCCAGAGCAGCTAAGACTATAGGCATGTGCCACCACTGCCCAGCTAATTTTTTTATTTTTTATTTTTTTTGAGACAGAGTCTCACTGTGTTGCCCGGGCTAGAGTGCCGTGACGTCAGACTAGCTCACAGCAACCTCCAACTCCTGGGCTCAAGCGATCCTTCTGCCTCAGCCTCCCAAGCAGCTGGGACTACAAGCATGCGCCACCATGCCCGGCTAATTTTTTCTATATATTTGATAGTTGTCCAACCAATTTCTTTCTATTTTTAGTAGAGACGGGGTCTTGCTCTTGCTCAGGCTGGTCTCGAACTCCTGAGCTCAAACAATCCGCCCGCC